GGCATACATTCCAGGTGATTGCAATTTCGACCCGTTGAACCTCCTCCCTCAAGACAAGAACGGCCAAATGGAAATGATGACAAAGGAAATCAAGCACGGAAGAATTGCCATGATGGCAATTTTGGGGTTTGCTGTTCAAGAAGCTCTTTACAAGGCTCCGGTCGTTGCGGAGACACCGTTTTTCTTCCACCCAATTTTCTAAATGATTTAACATCGGCTAATGTACTATAGAAACAATTTTTCAATGAATTTTGCGATTGTTAACGAAAAGTCTTAGCTGCCTTGTCGAATGTGTCTGTCTACGCGATGTCGTTGACATTATAATTTAACATTCTGGTGCAGATCGAGATTTCTGCATGTATCACATCGCACCGAAAATTTAGCTTTGACATATGACTTTTAAGAAACTTTTGTTCCGATTATTACCTCACAGGTGACAGCTTTCCAAGACCCTAACTCGGCCAGGAGCAAAGGCTTCCACACATCAAATAATGGATCCGKTCCTTTATGATATCACACCAGCTTCATTCCGAAGCTTGTCGACCAAGTCATCAACACTTTCTACCATGATTCCTTGCTGTCGTGGTGGTGGCGCAAAAACCTCGACCACTTCATTGTATGTTGTCAAGTCGACTCCTAGGTCGTCGGCATTGATTGTGTCAACTTTCTTTTTCTTGGCCTTCATAATGTTTGGCAGGGTGGCATATCGTGGTTCGTTCAAGCGCAAGTCACACGTCACAACGGCCGGAAGGGAAGGAATCTTAATGGTTTCTGTTCCCGAATCTGTCTCTCGTTCGACTGTGATTCCCTTTCCTCCATCGTTGGGCGTCAAATTAGCCGCAAACGTTACCTGTGGCCACCCCAAAAAGCCAGCTAACATCGGACCCGTTTGGCCACAATCAGAATCGATTCCCTGCTTTCCAAGCAATACAAGGTCTGATTTTTCCTGGTCCACAATTTTTTCAAACATTTTAGCAATCGCATAAGGCTGGAGTTCCATGTAGTCCGTTCTCAAATCAGTCGAAATATGAATTGCTCGGTCACAGCCCATTGCCAAAGCGGTGCGTAGCGTCTCGGTGCATTGTTTGGGTCCAATCGAAACCGCCACGACTTCCTCGGCCGCCTTTGCTTCCTTTAGTCTGACGGCTTCTTCTACAGCGATTTCACAGAAAGGATTCAGGGACATCTTGACGTTATTGAGACTGACCGATCCTTTTTGTACCTGCACCTTAACTGCATAGTCTACAACACGTTTGATCCCGACAAGAACTTTCATGATTGACGCCTCTACTTCTCTATACTGTACTGCTGGGAGGTCCTGGAAACTTTCTTTTTCTTCTGCTCCCGCATTTCAATTAATAAGAAAAATACGACAGAGCACGACAAAAAAGGTTAGTCGGCAAAATAATTCCACGAAAAATGCAGAACATAACATTGAGTTACACTACAATCTGCAACTTTCATATGTTGTCATGTGGCAGATGCCTAAAAAAGTCGAATCCATACCAGTAGGGTAACTCAGATCAGAATGGTAATTGGAAGGAGCAATTTGTCCACAGATCGAAAGAACCAACTATTCCATTCGATCGTGAAACACGAACAAGGAGTACTGTTCGTGACACGTCTTCAACACTGAAAGCAAACAAACAACGCTTCATCGTGCTTCAGCAATAATACCTACGGTTCCGGGTTGCTTGATGAGCCTGTTCTGTTAAAAAGTAAAGAAATTTAATTTATGGAAAAGGCACTAACTGATTTTGTTTGAACTCCTATCTGCTGACCTCTTTCCCTATTGTTATGTAATGTGGTAGCATCGTATTCGTCATGATTGATGTTGTCACCTGTCGCCTTACAGGAAGTGGAACTGGATTTGTTGGGCGAAGAACGCTTTTCCGCTCACACCCATAGGTACAAGTAGTACYCGTACCGGTAGCCTGAAAGCAATCGCTGTTGACACTCGTGACTAACAAAAATCACGATTCGCACACCGAACGTACTATACGAACATTAAGTACGATACGTACCTACCAGGCAAGTACAACAATTTGAGAAAGTCAGCATCGATACGGTTGCGAAGTATACGTGGCTCCTTATAGTCGCATAATGCGGTGTTTATAATAAAGAGTGAGTTTATTCACTATCTATTCGTGATTTAGCCTCACAACGGTAGGATAGCTACTAGCTACCGCACCTGCATACCGGTACCGGTACGTGTATTATTATTTTTATTTTTATTTGATCAACGGTTTTCTATTCCACAACAGAACGATTTTATTCAACTTCATCATGGTAAAGAGTCGGAAATTATGGCATTTCCAACCCCTCTCTGTATATGGATAGAAATTCARAGCCTGGAGTGAGCAGACGTACTGTAATGAGGTAAGGGCAAGAGGACTTGGTCCGAAGAGAAAGGAAGTGCCAAAGGTTCACAATGAGCGGCGGTCGAAGAATACGAAAGAATCGTGACAACAGAAGGGATTTCCGAAAAAGGAAACTCGAAGAGATCGCGCGACAAGAAAAAGAACAGAAATTGAAACGAAATCAACGGCGAACGTTCACCGATACGTCAACCTCCGCCCCGCCAACGCCAATTATAAATGATGTCGAGAAACCATCGACTCAGGTTGAAAACAAGGGCAATCCTGACATACACGAAACAGCCGATCGTAGAACCAACCCTATAAAAAATTCTCCAATACCACCATATTGGGGAGCGAGCTCCCCAAAACCGAAGTGCCCACCAGCGGCACGATCTAGAACGTTATATAGTTCTTCTTTTCGAAAAAAGAAAGAGGAACAAAATTATAACGAGAAGTGGGACGATTCCAGCGATGATAACAACGATCTTTTTTGTGGAAAGGGTGATCCGATCCGTGACGGGAGACGCAAGCGATCAAAGATTCTTTCGAAAACCGGACGAAATTCAAATGTGGTTGGAAGGTCTGATTCTCGTTGTAGAGTCTCGCATTCTCCATCAGCCCCAGCGACGATGGCGACACTGCCGCCACCGGAATCGAAGAACGCGAGAACGGCTACAAAGGCTAGAAACGAATCAGAATCTGATTCGGATTCAGATGGATCGTTCAACATGATGGCCCTTTGGAAGGAAAATAAAGCGCAACGTCTCAAAGCAGATAAGACTAGACAACAAGAGAATCAGACCACGTCAGCTGGAGTCATTAATGATGCCGAAATATGGAATATGAAGAAAGGAAAAGAGGCAGATCTTGATGACGAAGTAGTTCATGATGGCCRCCGCAAAAAGTGCAACAATGGAAAAATTCCGCGCCGGCGAAAACGTGTTGCTATTTCTGATGTAAATTTTGTGGAGGATGGACTAGGTAGTAGCGARGACGGGGGAGTGTGTGATGATTATGATGGTGTCGATAGAAAGAAAAACAGCAGAAATTTGAAGTCTTACGGAAATACAAAGGTTCGTCGCCGTGAATATAGTGGAAGCAGTAACAAAGGACACGAGTCGCAGAATGATAGCAGCGATGATCTTGATACAGAGAGACCGCAAGCAAAATTGCGGAAAAAGAAAAAGCCTAGAAATCCACTGACACTGGAACGCGAAGCAAGTGACAATTTCTTCTTGATAGCAAGAGCAGCGAAGGCGACGAGCCCCCAGAAAGGAGCCTCAGACTTTGAAGATATTGACGACGGTTTTATGTCAGATTGTGAACCTATATCAGAACCAGTACATGCAAAAGCGAAGACAAAGGCAGCAACTACTAGGTATGGAATGGATAATTTGTCTCGAGGAAAAAATAATTCTACATCACGTAAAAAGATTGAGGAAAGTTCACAACAAGAAGATAGATTTTACGCCTCCGGTGATGAAATCTGTGACAGCGACGAGAACGATGACTACAGTGGAGCACAAAAATCGGAAATTATGGTTCAGTCACTTGATGATCTCCATCCACAGTTCAAAAATCCAAAATTCGGCCCTTATGCACCAATTGAGCCTCTGTTGTTGTCACATGATCAAAGCAAAATGATTGTTCAAGTACCAGCTAGTYTGAATAGATATCTGGCTCCATATCAGAAAGAAGGAGTGAAATTTATGTATAATTGTCTATCCAGAAGGAGTGGAGTAATTTTAGGGGATGAAATGGTAGGTTCGTTATTTCTGTTGGGCCCATCTTTCCGCTGTGATTTTTCTCTGCATACTTTGTTTTCTGATGATTTGCTTCAATGAACACTGCCATCTACATAGGGCTGCGGAAAAACTGTGCAAGTAATTTCTTTGCTATGCGCGATGTTTAATAAAACAGGAACAGGGAAAGACTTGGAAGACATTCGGGAAAGAGATTCTTTCGTCCGCAGGAAGAAAGTCAAGTTACAGAAACAGAGGGATCTAGCGTTGCGTAGGGGGGAAGTAGTTGACGAAAACATTAAAGATTGGAAAGCCACTTCGCTCTCCCTATCGCCTTGGAATCCGGTTATGATTATTGTGCCACCAACGATCATGGATACTTGGAAAATTGCTTTTGCTACCTTTTCGCACTTTTCTGTTTCTTTCTTCTCCCGCGAAAAAAAAACGGATGTAATAGATAGCATGCTCTATGGGAATGCAGACATCCTTGTTGTGCCAAAATCGGCGTTCCAGAGAGAATTACATTTTGATGAGCTAAACAAAATACGATGGAAACTCGTTGTCATTGATGAATTTCATAACTTCAAAAATCACAAAGCAAAAATTTCAATTCATCTCAGAAAGCTGAAAGAATTGCATCAGCCTTTGATACTCGGCATGACAGGGACTCCGATGCAAAATAACCACAAAGAATTGTGGAATCTTGTTGATTTGGTTGAAACAAACTTTTTTGGAACTCAAGAGGAATTCAATATAAATTTTGACAGGCCAATCACCTTAGGAAGGTAAGTTCATTATCAGTCTTCGATGAATTGTGCCATTTGTGTTTCTAGTAGCCAAGCTTATACGTCGACTCTCCTTGTTTTGTACCAAAGACAAAAATGCGCAAATCCAAGAGTAAAAGCACGAAGTGAGGCCGCAAGTGCCGAGTTGAGGAATCAACTAAGCAAGATCTACATCAAAAGGGAGAAAAACGTCGTTCTAAAAGGAGAGCTTCCCGAGAAGAATGAACAAATGATTCTTTGTGATCTGTCGCCATTGCAGAAAGAAGTATACAAAGCATGTGTTGAACTTCCTGATTTTGATCTCGTCAAACATGGAAGTAGACCATGCGATTGCGGTATCAATAAAATGTTTTTTCGAGATTTATTCAAACTCAAATGTAAAGCTGAGCGACTAGAGTTCATGAGAACAAATAAGAGACAGGTTGTGAACCAGGCAAAGTGCTGTTGGAAGCTCCCCGTAAATCCAAAATATGGGGAGGAAGGCGAGCCCTATATAAATCCAGATGCTGTCATATGGCGATCAATGGATGCGCATTGTACTGATTATACCGCCGCCARAGAAGGGTGTAAGAATTGTCCCTGGTGCTGCACTCTCCCATGTCTAACAAAGCTCAATAAGTTGAGTTCACATCTTGGGTTATTGCAGGCGTGCAAAACCAAAGAACCAAAGGGATCGCCTGCATACAATAGATATATTAAAGAGAAAGAATTTGCCAAGGTTTCGTTAGCAGGGATTACAAGTCGTCTTCCTGGTGGAGACAAGCCTGGTGGCGGTTATGATAGAAATGATGGTATCATGGATGACCACTTCAGCTTATCAGGAAAGCTAAAAGTGTTGGATAGATTACTACAAAAATACTATGCAGAAGAAGGGAAGGTTCTTCTGTTTTCGCACTCTACCCAGTCATTAGGTTTGATTCAGAACTGGCTCAAGAGTCGTGGACTGTACGAATACCGTAGAATGGATGGTAGTACACCGTTATCAAAACGACAACAGCTCACAGATGAATTCAATAAGGAGGAGCATATATTCCTCTTTCTGCTCTCAATCAAGGCAACAGGGCTAGGACTAAATCTCACATCGGCTAACAGAGTCATCATGTGTGAGTAGGACCGTTCGTTTCTTTTTCGTTTCCCTTCTATTATTCCAAACTCACACATCCACTTTGATTATCTCAAATCCAGTTGATGTCAGCTGGAATCCTAGCTGGGAAATCCAAGCTCAAGGTATGTAATCGTACTTGTCATCAGACCTCTTCTTTTCTTCAATTGTTTAATTTCTCATAATGATCCTGATTCCACTCGATTTTAGACCGTGCACATCGCATTGGACAAACACGCGATGTGCGTGTTGTAAGACTAATCTCGAGGGGTACTGTAGAAGAGATGATTTATCTACGACAAATTTATAAAATTCATCTCAAGCAAGATACGTTGCAAGACCATGACGATATAGATGCAGTGGCACCAAGGGTTTTTCGAGGTACGAAAAATAGTTTGAACACTATCGATTTGATATATTTTGATAGTGACAGCGTATTTCATTTTCTCGTGGACGTCGATTACTCATTAGTATATTATTTCATTCTTATTCTTCTAAATCGTAAGGAGTCCAAGGTGATAAATATAGGAAGGGGGAAATCTTTGGAACCGAAAACCTCTTTAGATTCAAAGAAAATGGGAGCTTTTTGGATGATATCTGGGCAGAATTGAGCAGCAAAGGAAATGATGGTGATTCTTCGGGACTAGATATTCGTGACAGTGGAGAGTTGTCAAAATTGCTCCTCGATTTGACAGATGAAGATAAAGTACGAATTAGGGAGGAAAACAATGTGCCCGCAATCGGAGAGGTGATAAGGGACGGATCTGACAAATTGAAGAGTAAAACCAGACGAGTTTTCACGAAAAGGACTACGCTAGGAGCAGAGGAATTTGACTCCGAGTTGGACGACAAAATTTGTGCAAAGGATGAACCATTAGAGGGAACAGTCCGCGCGGTTAACCATGGAGATTTGTTCCGTTCGGATAAGGGTGGAGCCGCAATTGCTTCCGGAGAAGATGGTTTCGAGGAAGAAATGGGAGGGCAGACGCAAGCTGCATACGAAATATACGAGAATGTCATCGGCGATTTCATTCATGAAGACCATGTAGCGGGAGCTGAGAATGGCAGTTGTGAAGACAAACACAACGAAAATGATGGTAGCCAAACGGAGAAGAATGAAGATGGTCGAAATCAAAGTAATATATCACCTACAATATATTTGAAACCATCAACCTCCGAAAAGAGCGTAGATAGCCTTTTGGTACCTTTGAAAAGTTCTCCCACGGCAAGAAACCCAAGAATCTCAAAATCCAGACATAGTGTAAAATGCGATTGTAGAGCCGCCCTGGCGTCAATTGATGTTGCAAAATCAGATGGCCCGATAGTTCAATATGATGATAGGCGCATGCCAACAAATCAGCAGCAGTTCAACAACGAGGGCAGACTAATAATCGATGCTTCATTCATTCCACAGAAGATTCATAACAAAGAGAAGCATCATGACCCTCAGAAGATTTGTGCGAAAAAATTACCTAGCATTCAAACAAAGAATAAAGTGTTGCTCATGGGATATCCTGACATTGACAATGTCAAGACGACCTTCTCGATTACTGATTTAAGACGCCCATACTATGGGAGAAAGAAGACAAAGAAGAAAACCACATTAATCCAGAATCTATCAATTTAACTATTGTTCACCACTGAAAACAAAAGATGAACTGTGCCCCGTGCCGCACGTCTAGTAAAAGGACAAGCAGGTTTAGATTTCACCAAGAACAAAGTTGTATTCAGACAGATAGACGTAAAAGCGTATGATATATGGTATATAAGTAACCTACTTGAGCTAAATTACAGAGGTCAAAGTATAACTCATACTAGTTCAGTTGTTTTTCTCATTCTGAAATAGCAATGGTCACAAGGTCAATCATGGATCTAGTCCTGCAACATTTCCAGAGATGGTAAAATTTGTACCAGGGTACAATTAAGTTGATAACTTTTACTATGTATTGCATATGCATTGAAATTASATTTCACCAGGCATTCCAAATGTTAACTTAACATTTCAAACGCTAGCACCGTAGGCCTTTGTAGAAATGAGTACTGTGGTGTGTTTGCTTGAATTTAATGTTCTGAATGTTGACTCCACAATCCACTTAACATTCCAAATGTTACTAGCAGGCCAGGGGGAGTCCTTCTTCTTCCTCTTTTTTKGAAACACTGCCAAAATTATTGTTTTTGGATGCCGGCCTCCTACCAAATGAAGAATAGGGATTATAAATATACTGTGTCACTGACTAGATCAAGCATACTGCACATTTCATATGGTCAACACCATCAAATATTTGACACCTACCATTAGATTTTTAATCAAGAATAAATATCATATTGAGTTGGTGTTTGAATATATGATACACCTATTGTACATTTTGGGCCCTTATTTTTGTGTGTAATGACTAGAGAGTAGTGTTGAATTTTTAATCCCACCAGTCGTGCAACCACCAACAGTTTTCGCAATTCCTACTTCAACACATGCTACTACAGTTTGAATTTTTTAATCCCACTGCAAGCAATTCAAAGAAGAGGGATTCTAATGGAGATACCATCCAGAAGTTTTGTCACAGCAACTATCACAACTATGAATGTTTTGGGGTAACTACTGCTCTAGAGTACAAAATGGCAAAAGACTGAGAGATAGGGCTACCTGGTGCTGGAAGCCTCCAAGCAATACTAAGGAGTGCACAAAGCAAACATCATATCTGCTGCCAGAAGAAACTGAACCARAGTCAACTTTCAAGTCAAAGAACCACATGACAAAGGTGCTGTTTCATTGTGGAACAACACAGCCTTGGTTTGATTTRCAGAGGAATGCATGGTTTGATTGTGAAATTGGTCTATGGCCTTTTGTTGCAAAAGAACCAGCAAAAAGAACCTCCGTTAACCGTCCCAAAGGAACGCTAGTAACAAAGCCACAGAATGTTAACTGTGAAGTGTACAACAAGCAAATGATGATGGAGAAAGTACTACTGCCTGCAATCCACAATAAGTGGCTCAAGGGGGCTGACCTTGGTCCCCCTCCTGGTGGTGAGATTATCATTCAGCAAGAGGATAATGCGAAGCCTCACAAGCTGACTATCAGAGCTGATATTGCTACTTAAGCTGTGGCAGATGCAGGCTGGAACATTCGTGTGACCACCCAACCACCAAATAGTCCTGATTTCAATGTACTTGACCTTGGATTCTTTAATTCTATTCAAAGTTTGCAATAAGAAGCAAGAATCAAAGGAAATCAATCATTTGATCGCCAATGTGGAGGAAGCTTTCAATGAATTCAAACGTTAGACTATGAATAATGTGTTTTTGTCGCTTCAATCTTGTATGGTAGAAGCTTCTCTTGGTGTTAAGGGTGACAACAATCATAAGCTGCTTCTGCATCAACAAATGGGAAAAGCAAGTCTGTTAGGCAGCAGAGAGAATGCCTCCCAACTTTGATTATTTCTTGTTGTGATCCTTCTTGTTCCACCATTGTTGAGGGAGGTCGAGTCCTACTAGCTAGCTCAGCAGGCTGAACAAGAGGCCCAGCAGCAAGCCACCAGGACTACAGCAGTAGTAGTASTACTACTACTAGTATCGTTAGAATTGTATTAAATGTACAGGAAAAATCCTGATAGTGATAAGAAGTGAATGTTGGTACTATTCGAACGCAACCCTACTGTGGCTATGTTACTAGGGACAATCAGTCATGGACGGCAAAAAAGGTCACATTGGACGGTCATAGATGGAMGGTCATAGATAGATGGAGGAAGTAAATGGTACGATGTAACTCTTACGTAACGTATGATTCTATGCCTATCGTACTGGTATCTTAGTTTGTACCACCAAGCTACGAAGAGTACATAAGCCTGCAATAGTATCGAGGGCAGCTTCAGTAGAAGAAACTGGTTATCAGTCAGATAGTTGTCATCGAAGGCACAGATAATGATGACATCATTTACGTATTTACCTCTCTTTGGTGTCAGTCTACGAAGAGAACGATTACGTACGTACCGGTACGAGTACACCACATGATGTTATTATCACCGTGTACAAGAACTACTAATACATACTTGTACTTGAACGCAATCCAAAAGGAATCTTGGATCTAAAGTGTCAGACAAGGTGTCACTTCATGAGGCTTACTTCCTGAACTAACGCACCTCGAAAGATTTTGCCTGGTACTTCGCTTTGTTCTATGCTTTCCTCCTCTAAAATGATGGGAAGTACGTAGCACCTATTTTTCAAGGCAATTTTATCGGCACGAGGTTGAGCCCTGTTGCTCTCCGCACATTTACACGTCGAAAACGGTCCATTTGAAAATCCATGAGGCGCAATCTTTCAAAACTCTTTCTGGAACGGCGCATAATCTTTCAATCGAGAAAACTAACAATAGGCTAGTAATAGCATATTATTACTCCGTATAAGTTCACCTTGAAGTCATGGGCACCATCTTTTACCCCGACCTATTTCCATATGAAGAGCCAAACTTGCCGTGGGCCGATGGAGAGAGACCTGATCGGTCCACTCTGAATCCTTACGGTTTTTGGAATGGAAAGTATGTCAAAGATGATGAACCCCTATGCCGTTATACGATGCCGCTCTACTTGTGCAGCCTCTGCGGTGACAACACTTCACCAGATCCTACTGGAATTGAAAAATGGTCCGTGATCATAGCACACTGGGGGCCATTTCCAATCGGCATTTTTGCCTTGTGGTGTGTTTATGTTAGGTTCGATCTTCTGAAAGAGAGAATCTATTCTCCGTTTCTCCTTCTGGTTTCGATTTTCAATCTAGGAGGTAAGTATTTTTGCGTCTGCAAGAGTTGGCTGCTCGCTCGTTTCCGACCGGACTATCAATCCACGCATTGAAAACGTTGGGAGCTAAGGTTCCGTTAATCCTTGTGGCTATCTCTGTGCACCCTGACGACTTATAGGTCGTGGACTCTACAGCCAAGCCCCGTACTGACTCACCCTGCTAGACCCCCAGGGCGTCGTCGGTGATCTAAATCCCCCCGAAGCGACCAGCGCAGTCCTTGATATTATGCAGTCCCACTCCTGATTGATTTTATTCTATTCCCTTCCGCCTCTAACAAGACATTGTCCTCGTGTAATTTTACTTTTGTCTCTTCGAAAGTTGGGAGTATGGCCGAAGCTGACAGCCACTACTTCACCATGAATTGGAATGCTTGCTACGACTCTGCAGAAACCTTTGCCAAATTGTACTTCTACATCTTTATTGGTTCTGGTTTTGCTATTCAGTGTCTTTCATTGAGGAAGGCAGGTGTCCCACTTATTCGCACACCTTCCGGTGCCTGTGATTGGTTCTTTTTTGTCCTCGATTTGCTTTTGATATTCTTCACCATTCTTACCCCAATCGTTTGGGCTCTGATCGCGCAAAAACCGGCAACGACAATGTTCATTGTAACGCAATCTATAGCTGCGATTTGTTGTATTCCACGCGTCTACTCAAATCTTGGCCCCTCGACAATCCATCTTGTTGGTGGAATTCTGTGTCAAGTAATTGCCGTTGTTGGAGCCATTCCAATTGTAGACTGGTTGACGTTCACCGGAAATCAATACATCCATGTTCTCCTCGCCTTTACATTTGTATTGAATGAAGGCGGTATTTTTTACCTAGTCTACATCATGGTGGATCCAAAAAAAGCTGAGGCTGGGAGAGGAGAAAATGCACCTTTGATTTGATTGGTTAACAAAAGAGAAGTATTGACGTATCATTGTTTTTTGAGATTATTTGAAGAGGGCCCACAGAACGACATATTTGGCAAAGAATAAGTCATAAAGAAGTATTACTAGTAATTAGAACAAAGAAATGAAAGTGAATCATAGGACAAAGCCCAAGGTGCTAGTCATGGAAGTAGTATTTCCTAGAACAAATAAGTGAGACTTCAATTGTCATTTGAGACAACATGTTGACTTCATAGTCTGCTTGTTGCATCATTTTATRTGCCGCTGGTGCTGATTTGTGGAACTCTTACAGCAGCAGTGGCACTACTAGTAAACCTCAACCCCAACCCCAACCCCTACAGCACTACTACCATGCTATCAGCAAACAACTGCTGAGCTGAATGGGTCCTCAGAGATTAGTAGGTCAAGTGTTTAAACTATCACACTACTAGTAGTACTAGTAGTAGTACTACTACTTCTGGTAGTACTGGTATATACCAATAATTAAAGCCTTTAATTGCTGGTACATATTCTGAGAATATGTACCTCATGGCACTGGTGGTGGTGTCTGACCCTTACTACTACTGTTGTTGTGCATTTCTTCTGGTGACAACATACAGAGATTTATCCTTTGTAGTAGTAGTAGTAGTAGTAGTAGTAGTAGTAGTAGTAGTAGTAGTAGTAGTAGTAGTAGTAGTAGTAGTAGTAGTAGTAGTAGTAGCAGTAAAACTACCCTTATTTTCAAATTAAGAATTTCTAACACAATCCTGCACATCTAGTGACATTTGATTGATGTCGAGACCGTACTTGCAATTCTTTCCTCCTGCTGACTGTATTGGTGAAAAAGGGATCATGTGTTTCTGATCTTGATAAATTCTTTTTGTCACCCTTGTTCCAAGAATGGTTTTCTATTGAAACTGCAACAAGCAGTAGATAAAAAAATCTTGTTCTTGATTCTGTCTGTACTACCACTAGTAATGAACAAGGAATATTCTTTTCACCCTTGCACTCACCTAGTTTTTGCACACTAAAAACTATTTGCCATGACGAGCCAATCACCATGAGGATAAGGCGGGAAATTGTTGAATGTCTTCTGTTGGGAACTGGACAGTACCAGATATTTGTAATAAAATAACCCCTAAAATTAACAATTTTTGACCCCTCACTACCTGTAACTTCCGCAGACTAGTTCTAAGSCGACAAAGCATCATTAAGCATCCCAATGACCTGGATCTTTAAGTAATTGTATCATCTTGGTCTGGGTGCTTAGTCTGGTGGTCTAAAGTTGTTTTTTGATAGAGTTCTGGCCTATTTTCTAACCAGCAGCCGGTCTCCACTGGCCAAATTTGGCCATACCGGCTGTTAATGGAGAACCGGGTCCCCCTTGGCCCCTAATCATGTAACAATGACACACAGCACTCTTCTTAACACTATGACCGAGCATATGATCCCCAAAGGGGATCTCATTTGAGCCAGTTCTTGAGCACTTTTAATGGCCTCAATAACACTGTTTGTGGTCAAAAAGTGACCGAAAACTCGTAGATCTATGTAGGATCAGCACTGAATACTGGGCTTCAAAATTAACCGTGATTTTAGTAGTAATAATTTTGGCGTTTGAGTAGAATGCCTTTTTTCTATGTAGGGCGTGGTAGGCTTTTTACGGTTAACGCACTTTATATCGAATTAACTAGTACGTACCAGCAGTACCATACCGAAATGCCGGTAAAACGTTCTGATACCGGTACATCAAATAAAAATTGCTTCTTCTACTAGTTTTTTTGTACGGTACCAGTAGTTGCAATTTTTAGTCACACTTCGGAATTTGTTTTCTCGAGTTTTTATCACTTTCGTGCTTGCACGATACTCCACCTTGCTCATCYGCATTGTCAGAAGTTCCCAACCTGTTATCCCCAATCATGCTTAGGGCAACATTAAAATGGAGGGATGAAAAGACATGGCCAGTCTTGCTCTACCGTCGAGAGAGTGAYGGATGGAAAAAGCAAGAATTTGAGTCGTCGTCGTTTACAACAACTTCCACTAGAAATAATCGGCATCACCCTAGGGTTACCTCGGTTGGTCTCCGAAAAGAGTGCATCATTTTCCCTGCTCTTCGTCAGAAATTCTCTTTAAAGTCGGAAACAGACCAAGGCACTGTCATTCGTCGCGGCGACAAGATCCTCTTGGTTTCAAAGCGTCGTGCACGCGCAATGCTCCTTCAATTTCAGTCATTGGAAGATTGTTTAGAGTTCTCCGACAACTTTGTCCAATTGAATCCAAGACTTCCGTCTAAACCACCTTCAAGCTATAACTATGAGAGTAACTTTGCGTCACGAGATCATTCTTGTGAGAAACAAGACAGCGAGAATAATCAACGAACAGTGAATGACGAAGACCACAAACAGGTTGTATCTTGGGTTGTGAAAATGCTTCACGACAAGAACTTCTTGGGCTATGTTGAGAAGATCGAAAACTACATTGCAGAAACCGAAGATGGATTGCAAATTTTGCAAKGATTAGAATGCAGGGAACTTTCGTCGACATAAATAGATCCTTACCTATTCCTCGGTTCTAGCTAGTATAGAAAGATTTGAAGACAAATTGATTTCTATTTACGCTAATGGGCGGACGCATAATACATCGAAAAATAAAATTGAAATAAAAAGGCACTAAATGCAGTGTTCATTATTAGAACGCAAACTTCTTTTCCATCCTACATAAGACAAAAGCATCTGATCGTTAGAAWACAAGGGCGACTCGAAATCTTTCCGAATGAATATTTGGTAGGCATCGGCTGCGTAATTCCCGCAATTGAAAAGTTGCTTCACTTCCGTCCGCGTCAGTTCAAACTCGACTCCTTTCCGATCACCGCGGTTTTTAGCTGCGATCGTTTCAAGATCTTGCAACGTGTCAATGAGGTAATTTTTTCTGGCCAATAGCGCTACATAGTCCCTGGAAAGCTGCACAAATGCTTTGGCCTTAGAGCGACCCAACCCTGCCGGTCGCACCAGAGCGAAGACAAAAAGACGAACAGCTTCTTCGTTGTTCGCCGCATCSTGCACAACCGACTCTGCCGTTGSCCACTTCTGAAAAATATGAAACAAAGTTCCGTCAAGATTCTGTTTTCGTTGGGTCTTGTTTAATAACATTGTGCAAATAAGGACCCGCCAAGGATCTTCTGGAAAAAGTTCTTCCAGCAAACCAAATGGACTTTCCACTGATTTGGAAGTAACTTCGTGTTTTTTTTCGTCTGTTGTAAATTGCTCGCATGTGCTYAATGTAAAAATCTGGCCATAATTTTTGTTCAGAATATCACSTTCGCCAAGGATAGAGGAGCGCGCTTTTTCGAAACTCAGGAAGGACTGCTTTTCAATATTAGCGGATATGATAGAACACATTTCGATAGGGATTGATCTCAACATACCTATTGAAGCAGTATGAATATACACATGTACATACACGATCTTACTCACCTTCCTAGATTTGAGTGATACAAACTCTATTCGAGGGAGCTGAACTGGTAATAGCTTCGCCGATTTGCTTATCGCATTCTCTTCCTTTCGAGTTCTTGATGAACTGCTGTCTTGGTTTGGTTCCATCTCGTGAACCAAGCGACACGTCCAGTCATTCAACACCTCACCGATAGGCACTAGCTTTTTCAGCTTCTTTCTGAGTAACATCCATTCACGGCTCGGAGCGAAGGCACGCAGATAGCATTGATTTGGRCATAGATGACGCAGTAAGTGTGCTTCGGCCCATTGGCCGACTTGCTCGACGCAAACGGATTTTTTATCCTTTCTCCGAATGGAAGTCGATTTCTCACTGGTGAATTTCTGATTTGAAATGCCCGCATCAAGTTCCTTTTGAAAGATGGGACAAGCTCGGAAATGCAGGAATGCATCCTCGCGAAGTATTTTAACACACGTTTTGCATACATTTCTCATGCTTTCGGATTGAGAACTTAGCTGCGAGCAMTTCGAACTAATATCCTGATAAGTGCTTCTGCTCATCCAAGTGTATACCAATGGTCCCAATGACACAACGGATCCATAAGCAGAAGACGGCGAGCGTAAAAAGTAATCACTTGTCGAGTCGGGCGATGCAATAGATCGGGTGCTATMATCGTTCGAGAATATCGAATAAGTGCCAATTTCGTCTTCCTTGTTTCCAGTTATTTTGGGACGCAAATCACCAGTGGCCTTTCTATGTCTTTTGGCGCCCTCTTTCTTCGTTCCATTTGTGGCTGCATGACTTGTGTCGAACTGGAAAGAGAATTTCAAAACCTTTGAAAAATGCCGACTTGTAACCGGATCTTTTTTCCTCCGCTTGTTTCGTGAAGCGTTCGTTTTTTCTTGATGTGCCGAGGTGGGASCCATAATTCCTGATGGCATGTTCTTTCGCATGTTTTGTTCATTTTCGTSTCTTCGAAATTAGAAGAGCTCTATTCAAAATGCTTTCATTTCGAAATTGCTGGTCCTGGCGTTAGCATTTGCCATTTACTTCCAACTTCCTTTCCCTGTCTCTCTTTCTATGGTGGTAATRAGCGGACTTGTCTTCGAAGTCTAAATAATTTAACTTAAATGTACGGTAAGWACTTGTACCGTATCGTACGGTAAGGAAGACGAAASGAGGAAAATATTTGCGATTTTTGCTTTACAGAAATCAGATCAAAATTCAGCAATAGATTACAGTATTATGAATGTACGGTACGTACGTATCCTGCATACYAGGGGCGGGTCATACATTGAAACCTGAAACCCCGAATATCGCAGTACTTCTTGTAACTTRTTTGACCTTRTGCGATAAAAGTCTTGAGSTGGGTCATAGTCATAGTCTTTTCCGACAGTACGTACGTACCWCAAACAGCGTAGAATAATACATTACTACAGCATCACTGGATAGCAATTATGTATCACTTTACAATTACGGATGAATGACAGACGTAAATTTAACACCATTGATTGCGGATCATTTTTTCTTTTCGGCCTCGGCMTTCGTTACGGATCAGAGTKTTCCAGAAAGAWAGCGACAAGTAGACAACGTTCATGCGATGTGAGATTCCATGSTAACAACTTCATCGTGTTTCCTCTTACAGAATTTAGAATACCGGTACGGCCCGTCAACATTTTTAAGTTGCTTCTAAATCTTCATTTCTTTCAAAACAAAGAGAAAATCAACGATGAMCTCGTCGAAGAAATACAAGCTCTTTTCAAAGGAAAATGCTGAAGGTGGAAAGGCGACGTGTGCCTTCTATCAGTCTCCGGCTGGATGTCGAAACGGTGATAATTGCAAGTTCTTACACGAAAAAGCTCCGTCTACAACTGCAGTGAAAGTAGAATTATCAGATGATTCCAGTATGAGTTCCGAGAGTGAGGACGAAGCGCCTGTCAAAGTTCAAACCCAAGTGAAGAAAGAAAAAACTCCTCAAAAGCACGAAACAGAGCAACGGAATAAAAAGAAAAAGAGGAAGTCCATGGACGATGGAGACATATTTTCTGCTCCCAAGAATGCTAATCACGGTAAACCTAGAAAGCAACAAGCTCCTTCTAGCAACAAAAAATTGAAACCGTCTACCCCTTCATCTAAGCCTACCACACCTGCCACTCCGAAAGTCAAGGTCGAGAAACAGCAACCAGCGGCTTCTACAAATAGTTTCAGTAGCTTTGTTTCGAACTTGCCTGTCGCCGCGTTCTCGATACCCGGCGTCACTACTCCTGTGAAAAAGGAACCTGAAGTTGTTGCACCGACAAAAGCTCYAGAAGAGAAGAAGACGCCAAAAAAGAAAGGGAAAATTCTACCCACGTCCACGGCAGTTGGTCGAAAATGGCAAAAATCTATCATCGAAACCCGCAAACACGATCGCTACGATAACTCTCACAACTTTGATAGATACAAAGAACTCGATGCCGAAAACAATATCGAAGCGACTTGGTTCAAAGCGAAGCCATACGGTCCTTGGTGTGAATCCAACCCACAGGCAATCGCCATTGACTGCGAAATGTGTGAAACTCAGGACCCACTTACGGGGGGCAAGAATTCCAAGGCCTTGTGTCGTATTAGTGTTGTAAATGCTGAGAACCCAGAGGAAGTGTTGTTGGATACTCTTGTCAAACCTGCGTGGCCAGTCACTGACTATAGGTCACGAATCAATGGAATTAAGAAAGAACATTTGGATAWTGTGGAATTCACCCTTCGACATGCTCAAGCATTCATGTTGAAATTATGCAGCCAAGAAACCGTGATTGTCGGGCACGCTGTCTCAAACGATCTTGTGTCTCTTAAAATGGAGCACGACGTGATTTCAGACTCCTCTTTCCTCTTCCGAGCCAAAGACGCGCCGACTGCTAGTCCAAGTCTGAAGGATTGTGTCAAAACCATTCTCAAGAAAGATATGCCTGAGACGCATGACAGTGTAAACGACGCGAGGAAGGCACTGGAATGCGTCCTGGAATGGATTAAAAATGATGGCAAGGTTGAAGAGATCGAACGCACTGCTAAGTTTCCCAAAACGGGACATCAACTCTTCATCCATCGCATTCCAAAAGAATGCAAGGAAGAGCATTTGACCAGCATGTTCCTGAAACATACGACCATCGAGCCAATTGATATTGAAGAAATACAGTTCGCTGGAAATTCTGGAAAAACCCATGTGAGCTTTAAGTCTCCAAGGCATGCGAACCTTGCCTTCGAGACTCTCGATGGCAACGCAGAAGAAGAAAAATCAGGCCGTCTTCAAAAGAAGGTCTACCTTCGAAATGGAAATTATATCCGAGTGAGGAAAATGGTCCACGCAAAACGCCCAAACAATAATAATAAGAACAAGGCTACGGACGGAAACAATATCACCAAACCATCTCCTTGAAAAATCGAAGCAACTTGATTGCCTCGTTCCACAAGTTAAAAACTGTCAGATGCAAAAAGCATACCGGCACAAACTGCAAAAAAGCACCCCCTCTATCCCTAAAATAACAATTTCCTCCTATGGATCCCCTTTTATAGAAGATAAGGCATTAAATTGCCAGCTTGAAATTTCACCCCCCAAGCAGATTGTGTGAGGATAATGACTCCCGAATAGCTATTGAATAACCTCACTTTCTATTGCGTTCATCAGCTTTTCACAGATTGAGGGCATCACTGATATTTTGACGCAATCATTGTGTTTCATTCACACTCTTGACGCAATGGGTTTGCACTACAGGCCATGCATACTTCCTTTGCTTGGTCAATGAACGATTGCGAAAATTTGTTCTTGAAAAATGAATTTTATGGCTCTTGTTGGATCAGAAAATCAAGGCGTTTGAGATATGGGGGACAAATAAACTTGGTTTTTCTTAGCATATACACCATGAGAATTATTTGGTATGTCAAGGTTCCAATATTTTCAAAAGCCTTWGCCAATGAATATGGATTTAAGTGACGATCTGCAGGTTACGCTTTGGCGTGCCGTGTAACAATATTTTGTTGCCTGGCTTTTTTCACGACCTACATCAAATAGAATGTAGGCAGATTGTTTTGAAAACTTTCTCCACGTAGTTGAGTCCATAAGGAAGAAAGCTCAATTCCAAACTTGCGTTCTTTTGAATACATCAGCGATGAAGAACCGAGAAGATACGAAAGAGCCATGCTATATCTGTGCTGTTGTTTTAGTTTCCCTTRCCAGATGAATCTTCAATGATGCGTCTTGTTATCTTGTTACATTACTATTGGTCCTCTGCTAGAGAACGAGTACTTTCCTGCTACCAAGCCGAAAGTCAAACATACACTTTTCTTCAGTTGCCTGCTCTCCAAAAGGGGCATGTTTGGGGGTAAAAACTGCAAATGTTTTTAGGTGCACGTTTCGGCAGATGACGTTACATCAGGATTTTTGATTTCTGATTTCTTCCTCTAAACTGACTGGTCTGATGTATCTGATGTAGCGTACCTGGTACCGTACGGTAGGTACCTGGTACTTACACGGTGGGAAGCGAGGAAGAGCAGCGACTGCAAAATCGCAGAACTCCAGTTGCTACCTTTTCCCTTGCAATCGTCACATATCACGATGGTGGTAACGACACATTTAGTGGGTCAGGTTTCAGCTGCGTTGCCCGTTCAGGGGTTATCGGTGCTATCGTACAATGTGCTTTTGCCTAACTCCATTGATGGGTGGTGGACATACAAAATGTACAACGACCCGAAACACTTGGAGTTGATGGAACCATGTGCCCAGAATACTGGTGAGGGTCCAAGTCCCTTTTCGGTATCATCGTGGGAGTACCGCCGCGATCTACTTAAGGAGCGAATTGGTTCGATTAGCGCGGATGTAGTTTGCCTCCAAGAAGTCTCTCCTGAATCTTTTGAACAAGATTTTGATTTTATGCAAGATTTGGGCTACGACGAGTTTGCGATGTTCAAACGGGGGCGCTTCCGACCCGCGACATTTTGGAAAACATCGGAATGTAGACTCGTGAACGATCCTGTTCACAAGGATAGGAGTCTCATCACAGCTTTTGAACGCCAAATGGCAGAACCCAATGAACATGACGAGCAAGAAGACCAGCAACCACCCTGGTACGTCGTGAATTGCCACTTACAAGCAGGACCACAGGGACCAAGACGGGTGCGCCAAGTAGTCGACGCTATGAAAGGAGTCATGACATTGGCTAGAAAGCAAAAGCTGGAAACTAAACCTGAAGATACAGCACGCGTGATTGTTTGTGGTGATTTCAATGGGGGGGCCGAGTCGGGCTCAATTCGACTTCTCGAAGATGGATATGTTGACGAAACGTTTATCGAAGATGGTGCCCCGGTAACGTCGAAACGGAAAGCATTGCCTTTCACGACACCATTTAAAGACGCTTCAGCGTCTGTTGATAGTCGACCACCACCACCAACCCTCGTGGTGGCCGAGCTTATATCTAATATTGTGGAAACAACCGAATCTGCATACCAAGATCCAAAACTGTCACAGGATATGATCGAGAGACTTGGAAGAATCTACAAAAAGTTTGCGAACACAGCCGACGGAGACATGAACAAGGAGGCGGTTGAGAGATGGTTGATTTGTATCAACAAAAAATTAAAAAGAGGGGACGAGTATCGRAATGCCGCGAATGCAATGGGATGGAAAGACCCAAATCCAGACGACCCCTGGGAAGTCCGAAAGAAAAGAGCTGAGCTACCAGATGACGGGATTCTGACTCTATCTGGATTTGTAGAAGTGTATCAAAAGGAATTATCTGGCGGAAAATTTTGGGGTATAGCACACGATATGTGTGTCCTCGGGGAACCTCTTCCCGATGCTGGTTTGTTCACATCTCGATTTGATCGCATTTACTATAACAGCAAGAGCATCAAACCAACTTCTGTCACAGACACARCATCGGACAAGCCGTGTCCAAACGATAAGGAGGCGTCAGATCATTTGCCTGTAGCTGCTTCTTTTGCCGCTTTATGAAACCTGCGATGATCTCTACTCGGGTGCTATTTTACTTTGTTTTTATTATTTACACATACGAATAATTCTTACCCGCAGCTAAATTAATTTTGATTTCGCTTTTTCAAGAGATGCCGACRTYGGCTCTAGTATAGACATTCGATTCTAAAAACTATTCTGGCGGTGATTGAATCCAGAAAATCAGTGTGTCTACGATTTACTTATTATTACTGATAYACATCATCATCGTAAGGATTTGGTATATCCTGTTTCGGGCCTGGCATTGGTTGGCCATTGAGGTCAAATTCAACATCTTCCAGTCCCCACTGCGACAGTTCTGCCGGCAACAAACTTCGGTCTCTCACTACTCGAATGAATTCCGGTGCTTTGGCGCTACCCATCACCGCCTTGCCGACGATGACGCCATCATACCCCACCGCCAAATGTCGTTTCATTTGCTCCGGTGTTTCGATCCCACCCCCAGCTAAACAGATAATAGGCCCACCACTTCCTGGGAACAAGCCCGCTAACTTAATTGCCTGCTCGGGATACATTTGCTGTGCGACTCGATCGTAGTTTGAAACCAAAATGTTTGTGGCCATGGCATCGAGTGCTCGTTGAACTTCGTTATTGGTATGGCATTCCACAATTGTTTCGAGACCAATCGTAGTGGCAAGGTCCAAAAAGTTGTCGAGAGCTGGACCCAACACAGATGCAATCAGTAGAATCCCGTCGCAACCAGCTTCCTTTGCAAGTCCAAGTTGGATCTCATCTACAACGATGTCCTTCATAACAACTGCTGCTGTGTCGCTCGCTTTGCGTACAGCATTGACGGCCGACTTCAGTTCAGAAATATCACCTCCATAGGCTGGATAATCAACGTTCACAAACACTACATCAGCGCCCAATCGAACCATTGCTTCGCACACCATAGCTGCATTGTCGAAACGACAAAATGGCTTTTCTCCTGGTCTCGACAATGATTTGCGCTTGACGTCGACACAAAAACATGCTCGTCGCATTGTCATTTCTCCCAAACCATTGTCCATTAGTTTTTGCTTGCGGGCCATCTCTTCTTCTGAAAGTTCTTCTTCGTTGTTCCGGAATGGATCATCGTGGACACGTCGAAGTGCTTTGGCTAATTTCATCGAACTTTGTGTTTCTTGGGCGTAAGACATTGCCATACGAACAGGATCTGCAGACGATTTGTGTTGCTGTTTGACACCCCTCATTTCGTATTCTTTGCGATGAACAGCAGCATAGAGATCCTCCGGACGGGAGGATTGATGCAAGTTGGTCGTTGATAGTTTCCCTGTTTCAAACTGAAACATAGGCTTGCTGTTCTTCATTGCGTGCTGTTGCTGTTGTGAAAGCAAGAAACCTGTCGTATATGTTGGAGCAATCGTTGCCAGAAGACAGCTCCAACCAACGAATGATAGGATGGACATTTTGGATTGTACTCTTTCGATCTATCCTCGATGTAAACTACGCAAGAGTTGCTAATAATAGTGCAGTACTTTGTACTTGAAAACGGTTGCGATGAGTGTGCAGAGCGCGATAGGCTCTCTCGTCGACTTATGATCTGTTGATGAGTCGAAATGCAGGTATCACAATCGTAGATTATTAATTCGAAGTTTGCTACGAAACGTRAGGAAGAATTTTTTTGGTTGATGGCCTGAGTTGATAAGTCAARGCTCATAACCTGTTTTTCTGAGAGTGAAAAATGGCTTGACTCAATTGACTCGATTTCATATTACAGTACGTATCGTAATACGTACAAATCCATACGAATTGCGCTTCTCATCATTTTTACTCGTCGTGTCATGATGTTGTCAACAAACCGTCATCGATCGATCACGAAACGATTCTCGTTCAGTGAGAATTCGAAACTGCAACATTTTCACAGTATGTATGACAAGAGCATGTCATAGTGAGGAGCAATCAATGATCATCAATCACAGATTTTGCCAAAGCGGAGTTAAGAATTCATCAGGATCGCTTTTGAGAATACATTGAATCTTAAAGAGCGCTCATAATAAATCTAGACGCAAAATGATACGCAAACTCTGTACTTTGTACCTGGCGGTTGCTTGTTCAACCGTAACCGACCAAGCATCGTCTTTCGTCACAACAACGTTGACGAAAATGAAAACAATGCGCATAGTAGCAGAACGGCAAGGAAGCCAAAAACCAATAAAGCAACAACCTATTGGTTCTTCAAATCTTCCCTTGCTTTTTGCTACGCCCTTGGACGAGGAAAAGGCAGGCAACAAGAATAACACGGAGCAATGGGATCACGAAGAATCACTTTTAGTGATGAGTCTGAGTCCTCTGCCCGGTGTGTCATGCGAGGATAGTTTCTCGAGGRTATCGCAATACATCCAAGGATTCCCTATTGCTGCTGTGCTGCCTGTTCAGCCACTTCAAGCACTTCCKACCGGCGATGGAGGCCTGGAAATCAAGTTCTTGCGCAGAACAAAGAAGATCGGCAGCGTCGTAGACGGAGGAATGAGATTTTTTGTACGTAGACAAAATGGAAGRAAAAAAAMCGATCGAATCGAGATCGTCATTAAAAGAATCTCAGAGGGCCAGTCGGCTCCAAATCTGTTCGCAGAGAAAGYCATCGCCCAGACCTTTACCGAGGGCATTGCAATGGGTGGAGATTATTGTGATGACAATGGCAAGAGAAAGAATTCTTTGRTTAGGGTTCCCAAAACCAGAATCGCATCCCCCACCAAAGACAAGGCTAAAATTCAAAGCGTTTTCCACAAGTGGGTCGGGATATAAATAAGCAGAAAWGTGAACRACGAATGTACGCCCGCTCTGCATTGAAGGTTGCCTTCCACCTTCAACCTATTAGGTACATTCATGACCTTAAGCACTGACACCAAAGACCTTTCTCAGCAACGAGCTGTACTTGCTGGGTTTCGACCATGAGTTCCCGCCCTTTGGATCAATGCGTCCCGAGCATTAAAAAATTAGATCTTTATCTAACAGTATGGAGTAGTGTGAAAGTAGTAGGATTGAAAYATTAACCAGTGGTTTGTCTATAGCGATCAGCAAAATCCTGTTCACCTGAAATCGGGGGAGGAGCTATCAATCAGTCAATAGAAATCGAAAATTGAAAAAATAATGCGGAATGATCCATGTTTTTTCCGCAGCGTTTCAAATTGCAGTAATTCTTCATTAAAAAAAAATTTGTTTGTTTTTAGACTTCCTCGCATTGCTGTTTTCAGACAATCGCCCCACGAGTCAATGAAATGTACGGTATTCGTACTGTTTTTTTTTTGCATTGTTTGCATTGAACACTGAAAACACGATCGATCGACCTTCCGAACAACCCTCCGGGAAAWATAGAAGTAATTGGGTCGCTAGCCTAAATAATACTACAATACGTTCTGAAATGTACAACAGTGCATACGAGTACCGGTATGTACTGTACAGATTCTACCTATGTTTTGTGCTCTCTACCTCCAGTTTCGTACGTGTTTTACAGTAAATCCGATTACAATAAGACTGGGAACAAATATACAGACCTGACACTGCACTTGAGACAGCTGCTACAACAGGCATTCTCSATCGTTGGCGGAAGCAACGAAGTCAACGGTATCGTGCCACCCCTCCATTTTTCCGTCCCAATTACTCATCACCCGAGAGGATTAAAATGGGGTGGATAGAAAACGGACAGACGTATCGAGATTTGTCGTATGAAACAGCCGAGGATGATGCTTTAGAAGAACGAGAGAACGAGATTTTCTCTCCAACCGAGTTGGTGATATGGTTCTCTATTTTGTCACCGACCTTCTTCGTCGTTGCACTCTTGATTATTAGATGCAATTGGGACTGCCGGGAGTTTCAGGAATGGAATKCCATACGTTTGGYTATGCCGGGTTTGTGCGTGTTCTTGTGCATTCTAAATGCTACGATRGCGTATGACTRCGAAGGAACGAAAATTGCGTCGCATTGGAACATTCCCATTTACATGATGTCGTCTACCATTGCCCCAGGTAAGTGGTTCCTATGATTCAAGCGAATCGAATGAATTCATGTGTTTGGCTAGTGTTAACATTTTTCACAAAACAAAATCTCCGCGACTAACCCATAATGAATACGTAATATTGGAATTTTGCTATCCCCCGTATTGTTGTTGTTGCTCGTGCTGCTTTGCACAAAGGCATCTATGTTTTCACATTTGTCATGACATTCTTAGCCCACAGGACCAGGTCTATACCATTTTGTCTTATTCACAGAGGGCCGGGACGACACGAAACGGGAGAATCGCGATTAGACGAAGACGACGAAGTCTATCAGCCGCTGGTGCGGCCAGCTATCCTGGTAGTGTTTTCGCGGCTATTCGCGCTGATCCTGCTCCTTGTCACTTTTCTCATTGATTTGAATGCCCTCAGTGATGATGTGCTGGTTGGACGAACCGGATGGGCATCGGTGCTAAATAATCCCGAGGGCAGCAACACTCTCGCGATGGCTTTTTATCTGCTTCCGATGACTTTGGTTTCATTTCTTTGCCTGTACTTCGGGTGTCTACTCTGGCGATATGGAAATGAATTTTCTATGGTTGTCCCCACTTCCTCYGCCAATGCTTGGGTCTGTCCCGTGGTTGGATCATTGGCTATGATCGTGGGACAGATGTTTGGGCCCGATTTATTTCTCATTACWAGCAACACCGGAATATTGATCTATATGATRGCCATGACAAGGACGTTGTATGAAATCCGTTACGATATCACACAGGCTGGGGAGCTAGGTCAGTTCTTGACTGCTTTAGAAAACACACACAGAAGAAAAGACCAACGTACTCCATCTGGAAGAATCGTGGCGAATGAATCCGAGGGTGCCTCAACTGATTTGAATGGTGCCGTTGATGAAGAACTCGAGGAAGCAATGGCTTCTGTGAGGGGGGCAGCTTTAACCTGACCCGTGAAGCAAGTCCAGGGTGGGGAACAGARCAGAGTAAGGAGCAGCAATCGGAAATTTGTGAAAAATCTCACAGAAAAATATCGAGAGTTGCAATCTCTCAAACATCACGGCATCTACATTTGGTCAAGTTCATACATGGATATTGTTCTTTCAGACAGACATCTAGGGGACCCACAATGTGCGTTCTTCTATTTTATTGTAATTTTAGTGTTAGAAGTTAAAATRGAAACACCGATACCTTCGTGTATGCATTCACTGCTCAACTGCAACTTTCTCTTCTTACAGAGGATGTTAAAATATTTGAAGTATATTTTKTGAGTGTCCAACACGACGCGACCAGAGGAACGGAGTTCGGGATGTTTCTTCGATCAACGCCGCTGTCTCTTTCGGAAGAGAGGATGTCTCTTGGATGTATTCATTTCCTTGTACCTCATTCCCGATCCACCAGATACCTGGGACATGGACATCCCACCCGTTCGTTTCGTACGTGCATCCGCCATGTGGGCTCCGTCCGGATTGCTCTTCCGTATGGCTGCATCCTCGGCTCGCTGTTCCTTATCCAAGTCGGTTTCGGAGTTCATCACCTTCCGCAACATATCTCGATCGTCCGCGGCCGTGCTAAAGGCATAGCTATTGTCCGTTCCTATAAGATTTTTCGCGTCCTCTGCTGCTTTTTCGCAGAGATTGGTGACAATTTTGAATGTGTAACCTTGRTCAATCAAATATTGCTGCCGTTTCGCAGAGTAAAACATCTCTTGGGTGTCCGAACTAACAAGAGTGTAAAAGAAAGCATTGAAGGAGCTTTTGTTKGAACCATCTGTTTGGGTGTAGGATTTGGGTCGCAAAATTCGACCCAGTCTCTGTGCTTCTTGCCGTCGACTTCCAAAGTGACTGGATACTTGGACAATAACGTTCGCCTCGGGAAGATCAATGGAGGTGTCACCAACCTTCGAAATGCATATAGTTCTCAGCGCATCGGTTGCTCGGAATGTACCAAGAATTGCCTGCCGTTCTCTCTCTGGTGTTTCTCCATAAATCAATGGTTTCTTGAGCATCTCGGCGTATAATTTCAGAGAATACACCAAATCAGAAAACACGATGATCTTGTCGCCCTGTGCACGTGTAGTAGAAAAGGAGGCAAATTAATCAAATCAGTTGTTTGTGTGCGAGAAACCCAGGACTCAACCAAACAACGGCGAAAAAGCAACGAAGGATAATCAAAAKATACAAGAAACGAAGACTATARAACCTACCCTTTGTTCGTGGAAYCTGACCAAAAATTCGACTGCCCGCAACTTAGACGGATTCATGACATACAAGAGCTGCTTCAATCGTGCGTTGCTGGCGGTTAGGTACTCTTTCATAAACGGCCCGGTCATGGGACACCACACTTCCACGCATTGGACGTTTGCAAGATATCCCTGTGCCGTTAGATCCATCCAATTCGCCTCGTATAATTTTGGTCCAATGAGAAAATTCAGATCCGAAATTAGGTCGTCTTCTCGCACCAGTGTTGCCGTGAGCCCTAATCGAGTGTGGGCTTTGACAGATCCGATGACACGTCGAAACATTTTCGCGGGAACGACGTGGACTTCGTCCATCAAGAGACAACCCCATTCTCGACCTGTGATTTGGTCCATTACCTTTTGGGACTGCTCGGACCTTTTTCCAGAATATGAAATCATTGTATACGTCGTCACCAAAACGCAAGCATCCGGATGAAGTTGATCCTTCTGATCACTTGTGAAGACAGAAATCCGATCGTCGGGAATGTTGGTCCACTTTTGAAATTGGTATTTCCACTGTAAAACAGAAACGGCATTAGTCGCTAGGCAAACGCAACTCTTTTTTATCGTTTGCGCGGCCGTGACCCCCGTGAGTGTCTTTCCTGCACCACACGGCAAGACGATGATTCCAGATCTAGCGCGACCATTTCCAAACATCTTTGCCAAGGATCGTTCTTGGTATCTACGAATGCGTGTAATGGGTTTGAGATCAAATAACGGAACATTCGGATTCATTGTATCGTTTCGGAAATCATATTCCTCCATCAACGGGTAGTCCAATTCAATGGCCTGCCTCTTGACGTTTTCCACTTTGATTCCGTCTACCTGAAACGACACGACTACGGTGGGCTTTTTTTGCTTCGATGACATTCCGTCCATGTCGTCTTCGTCATCGGAGTCTCCGTCCCCAGGTTCTCTAAGCATTTCTAAATTCTCCCTCATTTCTTCTGCCTTTGTGTGCGTGGTAAAACCAAACTCATCGACATCGGCCTGCTGGTCGTGAATCCTGGCTTGCGCGATAACTGGGTCTCGCAACAACTCCCGCAACACCATSGGAAATTCGGACTCGACGTAGAATTTGTTATGTTTCAGAACCAGTTTTGCCTTTCCGTACTTCGAAGTGCAATCCCGGACGAACTTCTTGACCTCTTTCGGAAGAGCGTTCTTGGAGAGTCGTTCCAGAACATTGATGATCGATTCGGTCTCGATGTTCGTAGCCACCGCTGCATACAACGAATACGGCGTGAGTTTGTACTGGTGGACAAACTCGGGGCGTGCCACTGGTTCGGAAATGGCCACCAAAAAATCGTAGGCCTGGACGTACAGGTCGTGGAAGGCTTCGAGGTAGATGTTTCCATCGGGGCAAGTCCAGCAGGGTCGTTGAACGTGATCGGGTTTTAGGGCCATGTCCGAGAAATCCGCACCTAGGCTTCCTATTCCGTCGTCGCTCCCGCTCTGGTAAGGCACCAGTCCCTTAGAGGATGTGACGTTCGACAGAGCTTTTTCTCGGGCCGCAGCTCGCTGCGTCAACTTGCGCGCCGTCGAGTATTCGTCGTTCATGTTGTCCGCCATCTTGAACGAGTTTGGCGTTGTTGTCTGTTTTTTGATATCTTGTAAGTCGGAGTGACTCGATAAATAGCTCGCTGATTAATGGTTAGCGATTAATGATTCAGTGAATGGTTATGCCATGGAGATTTGGAGAACTGTTGTAGAAGTATCGTATGGTAGATCGTCCCTAGAAAGGGGACGGGTTTGAAAGATCAGATTAGTGAAGTGAAGCGCGTTGATTTTGTGAAAACGAGGAAATGGGTCGAGGAAAGAGTGAAAACTGGAGGAGACGGGAACCATTTGGGTCTATCCAACTTCATTTTTTTATAGTACCGTATTTTAATAATTTGAGAAGTAAGGAGGGAACAACCAGTGACATCACAATTTTTAATTTCTCGAAGACTCCACCGAGCAGCACCACTGCGAGTGATTTCGCGCAAGCACTAAAAAAAGCCAAAAATAAGTCGTTTCGGTCGGGTTTGAGGTTTGTGTTGGTGTTTGTCGTTGTTCTGCTCCCGACAGACAGCAACTTAGGGATAACTACTGTACTAGTAGTTTGCCAAATACTTCTACTAGCGATAGATAGCAAGCAGACTCGAGATTGGTAAACCCCATAGCGTCTAGAACTTTGACAATACAACGAACGAAGAAAAAGGCGGACCAAGATGGCAACTAGCAAATTCCAAAAGGGGCCGGACCTGAAGCGATTCATGGTGCGTTGTGTTTTCCGTATTGGTGATTATACGACGATAGACAATCAATAGGAATTGAGCATCGTGGAAGACCTGGTCATGTCATTCCGATTCATCCATGAACGACGCTACGAATGGAATTGTACTGTTCCCCAGTTCGCTCGCACTTTTGCACAAATGCCGTGACTAACTAACCAACAATTCCTCTCTTCATGCATTGCATTTCTTCCTTGAACTCGGCCCCTACTTTTTTCTCTCCATTGAACGGGAAAACAATCTATTTTAATGTGTTGTTTCATCGAACAGGACAAACGACTGAAACTTTCGCTGAATGGGAACCGGAAAATAGTCGGAACTCTGCGGGGTTACGACGCCTTTCTGAACGTAGTGATCGAAGACGCGGAAGGCGACGGAGGAGCATACTTGGGACAATTGGTCATTCGGGGTAACAGCATCGTGCAGTTTGAAGCGCTGGAACGAGTCAATTAATGAAAAGCTTGGATAATTTAGTAATGAAACGAAACAAAAGAGACATTCGTATTGATTATGAGAGAAATGAGTTACTATCTTCGATTACAAATTGGGAAAAAATGAACTTTGACGAGGWCGTTCCAAAGGAAGCCAAGAATTTTTAATCCAATATTCGAGCCGTAAACCCCACCAAGTCTGCATACTAAAACGTTGTCTTTGTTTCGAAGCTTGCCCGCTATGGCCTCAAGTCGATCGCAATAAAAACCAGTTTCTTGCAATGCAATGCAATTCAATGCAATTAACGAACAGCAGCTAGGTTGAGATTTTGTGCTCTGCATAGCACTTGTCGGTTGCTTAGAGACAGAGCGATTCCCATGGCAAGTGTACGTATGAGTTGTAGAACTTTGTTCCGAGAGCTTTTCTCTTTCAAGCATATTGCATTCGTTCAATCGTCCGTGCCTTTGGTCCTATGTGTGGTTTCAGAAAGTTTCCATTGAAGCGAGATGCCGMTCGCCACACACAGCAAAGGTTGATGCAGCAACTCATCCTACCACATTGCTTGGGAAGTAATACGTTGCCTGTACGGAAATGCACCTTTTTAATCGCATGTGAAAACAGGCCACAAAGACTTACAAACTACCTACAGAAAATCGATAGTCGTACAATTATTAATGTAATTAAATAATAAGCGTCGGGAGGGGCAGAGAAATTATCAGACACCTGGTTTAAACTTCAACTTGTGATCCGGGCTCGAAATCGTCGAATCCGTCCGCAAAATGATCTCGTCGCTTGGGTGCTGCGGGCAGGCCTTCAAGAAATTGAGACATTTCGCGAAACAAAGCTTCATCGAGAGGCATACATTCAARGTTTTCGTTTCCCGCGAGGGCTTGCCGACGGATCGATCGAACGTGGGCCTTGCAGATCTTAGACCATATCTGGAGGGCAGTTGCACAAGCACTTGTTTTGAACGAGTTCATGCCACGTTTCTTCCTCCACTGCCGCATTGCCCTCGCCGTGATACCGCCACTCCGATGAACTGCTTTGACAAACTCCTCGCCCTGGTAGATGCCAATACTCTTGAGAAACTCCACTTGCCATGGCCGTAAAATGTTTTCTAGTGATGTTGGATCGTCGGGATTGACAAGGCGGTTGCGCTTTCGGCCGCAACCACAAGCCATTCCCATTTGGGGCAAAAAGAAGGAAATCAGGTCGTCCTTCCCGCTAAATACGGAACTCAAACACTCACACTCAGCGCCATCGATCTTCGTGTTCAAATTCTTGATCATAAGTATACCTTCGTCTCTGTTGCACTGTATAGCTTCGCCTGCCACTACATCACACTTTTTGGGGTGTTCTAAAATGACAAGGGCACGAACTGGCGTCTTCTTGAACTTCGTCTTGCTTTTCTCCTGATAGTTGTCAGAGCAAGCCAAGGAGGTGAACTTCATGTTGTCAACACTCTGCAGAGGAAAATGGCKACTGGTTGTGTGTTTCATTGAGTTGCTTTTTCCGGCCCTCTTCGAAATCTCGTTTTCCTCGATGACACGATCATTTTGCATACCAACCAACTTCTCGAGTTTTTTATCTTGCTCTGTTGAACTCACAATCTTTGTCACTTTCGACACGAGAGAGTCAGATTGAGAACGAAGATTGGTGGCGTTCCTAGTTTCTCCGAAAAAAGTATCGTTCCGATCYGGTCTGTTCGCTGATGGTGTATCCAAGCCTTCGACAAAATCGCTCAAACCGAAAGATCTACGTTCTCTTGCAGGCTGAAATTTGTTGTTGTTGCTTGTATGATCTTTTGATTTCGTAAAAGTTGAGGGCTKTGTAAAATTGCTCGAACCAAACGATAATCTAGACTTAATGGCCTCTTTAGCATCCGTTTGACTCTTTGCGACGGCACAATCTGATCTTACAAAGTTCGAGACTGGCGACGGCGTATTCAGGTTGTTTGTGACATCGCTGAGGCCAAAGGACCGGCGATTTCTTGTCTTTGTCGACTTGTTTGAGTCGCTTGTGAGAACACCGACTGGTCGACTGTTATGCAATCGAGAGGATGGCGATTTGGTTTCGTCAAAATGGGTTATCTTTCCAAAGTTCTCTACCCCGTGATTGGCTCTGATGATGCTTTCCCATTTTTGTAAAACAGTTTTCTTTGGATATGTCATAGGAGCTTGTAGCAAGGTACCGTTGGCTCTTGGTGTTGATACCGATAAGTCGGTGCTAGTGCCTTCCCTCTTTTCATCACTGTCTGCGCTGAATCTGTCGACTGTCCAATCGTTACTTTGCTCGTCTCGGTTCTCGTCAAAGTTCACCCATAAATCTTCCCTGGTTTCGAAGAGGCCCGTTGCACTATCACTGGCATATCCGTGGCAATCTATTTCGGAAATTTTGACGATAGTTTCGCCTGCTACAAACGCCGACATGGCAACGTTCCCGCTTTCGGATTTTGTTGTGGCAAAAGATGTCGTCGGAATTATTGCCTGCGTCCTGGTGGATTCAGCGACAGGTGATGGTATACTCGCAGTATATATCCTCGAAGAGCTATGATACTGTTTGTTGGAATACGAGTGCCGTGTGATACGATRATGTAAAGTGTCGTCGCGAATGAATCAAAGTATAGGTACCGGACGACTTCAATCCGGTATAATTCATCRACGAGTTCCTGAAAATGAATGTTTGATGGTACAACGAACTGCTGTATCATTCAACTACATACTTCTACTACAATACAGTAATCCAAAAAATAGGGTTGATTTTTCGTACCTGCCGTAGTAAAAAATTCAAAAGGTTGGCCTCCTCGCGGAAAACGTTAGGTTTTCAGTTGGCAAGAGATTGAGAAAAGAAAGAAGAGAAAAACTGAAAAACTTCAGTTTTTGTTTTTCCGATCACTGGTAGTAGTACGCGTTCATGATTACGTACCGTACGTACTGCGTCGCAGGGGTCATAATTTAGAGGGGTGCGCGCGCATCGCATCGCGTCGAAACTCATACGTACTGTATTCCACGTGTGGTCCAAATTTCCAGAAAGTCACKCAAGGATTTTTTTTCATTTTTACTGCATAATACTAGTAAAACTATCCAACCTTTAAGCAGTTACAGCTTTATCAAAAATACTACTATTTTAATTTTCGAGTAGCCAATCTAGTCTAGTTTCTAATGATGATTCTGAATATACCATTTTGTTGGATATTAAATGGATATTTGTGGTACTATTTTACTATTGAAAAATGGACATAATTTCCATCATACTAGTAGTAGTAGTAGTAGTACTACTACTACTACTACTACTACTAGCTAGTACTTCTACTAGTATGATCAGTTTCACCTTAGCACCAGTTGTAACAGTAGTAATAATAATAGTAGTAACAGTATTAGCAACAGTAGATGGTAGTATTAACTGTACCTTTGGGGACTTTTTGGAAATTTGGACCACACGTGRTGGAATATGAGTTTCACTTTTTTTTGGTGCTTCGTGATGCGCAAAAAAAATTGATGCACTCCTCCCCTCTAAATTTATGACCCTTGCTACGTCGTCTTGAACAGGGGTCATAATTTAAGAGGGGTGTGCAACTTGCACATTTTTCAGCATCAGGATGAAAAAAATCCATTCCATCCGTGGTACCAATAAGAAAAATTTCCCATATATATTTTTTCATCTCATTTTTACTGCATGACACTGCAAAAAGTGTACCTGAAAGACCCCATGCACAGGAACACTTTCAATAACTCTGTGATTTTCAAACTTCATATGCACATCTCTCATATAGTTGGGAGTCAAGTAGTAAGTGTTTCTTGGATGTTATTGCTGTTTGGTGTTTGGTGTTTGGTGTTTGGTGTACTGATGATATAGGGCTGGTAGTACAACCACATTTTTCACTCTGCTTAAACAAAGAGAAGCAATGAGAACATTGCCCAGACAATATTACCTGTGTTGCTCTGTATTAAAACAATGGGAAACAAAGAGAAAGGAGGAGGAGAGGCAATACTATTTTAGTTTCTTCTCTTTGTTACAAGAAGAACAATGAGAATATTGCCCTTCTAGAAAATAAGGGGGGAAATTCTCTTTGAAGGATGTATGGGAAACTATTTTATTTTAAAAAATGTAGTAACAGAGGGTCCTGTAAAATTACAGTCCCAGCAGTACTACGGTACTCATACTTATGATCTCCGCATGGATTCAACTATCCCGGGCAGGGCCGTGTCTGTTGTACTACCATACTGCACATATGAGCAAGACTCTTGGCTCCTAAACAAGTACAGTACTTTGTAACAAAGATTGGGACAAGGGAGGAAGGGCAAGATGTGATTGCCCATACCAAGTACTCAAGTGAGAATTTTACTAGGACCAATAGTGATATACTAAATAGTGATGACTATTTCATTGCTGAAGAAAGGAAAGAAAGACAAATGGTGATTATAGACCTGGAAGCAGCAAAGAAGAAATCAGAAGCAGTGAGTGACAAGTTGAATACAAAGGCGACCAGAGTGATTGAGGAATTGCTATCAAAAGGCAAGATCATGATGTGTACAAAGAGGGAGATGCCAAGAACAAGTATCTTTCAATTGCAACACTCAARCTTTTGTGCCACCACCAGTGGAAGGAACAAAAAAATATCCCTGCAAAGAAAGACAAAGTCTTTGATGTTTGGATGCAAGTGAGGAAACTCCCTCCTCCAGAGCATTCCTGGAGGGACTCTGATGAGACCAAAATGCAGAAATTGAATGAGGAAGAAATTACAATCAGGGACACTACATCAGGAAGGGGGGAGAGAGATAGTAGACAGAAAGATGAGGCTATAGCCTGCCTTACATGGATGACTGAGGAGGAAAGAGCTGCTAGAAATCTTCCTGTTTCAGATTTGGAGGCTGTAAGGGAGTTGTGGTTCTTGAAGAAGTTGGTCCAGTGGTTGGTCCAGTTGCTCAAGTGTAGCAGTTTCCAGTAGTTAGTGCCTTGATGAATGCCAGTAGTAAGCATTTTTTGTTAAGARAATTCTGTTCTTGGAAATAATTTTGATTTCCATTTCCATTTCAATTTCAATTTCAATTTTATTCCATGTTAATAGTAGCAGTGTCCTGAAATTGATTTCTCAAAAAGTGAGAAAAAAGCTCGGAAGCTCCAAACTTGCTCCCTAGTAGTACCAGGTTCCTTTCAATATAAAATAGTTTCTTTTTTATTACTGAGACACATTAGTCATGCTGTGGGTGTCATAACAAATTGCACTGTTCCACCACATGTAGGCATATGTAGAAATTCTACCAATGAAAAGCTGTCTTGCAATATTAGGCACCAGCTCCTCATATGCTACTTGACTTTGGATGCATTGACTTGATGGGCAATGCCATGCACTTGTAGTGCATACCTTCTATTTGTCCGTATTGAGCTTGTATTAGTACTAATACTACTAATTAGTATGAAAAAGGCATAGTACTGTAGTTACTAGGTAGCATATGACAACGCCAGTAAGTACTAGTAGGTGAATATGTGAATGCTAGACATCAAATTCTACTAAAGCAAAAATAGCCTACAATTATTACGTTGTGATTTGTCCTCTGAATCAGGCAACATCAGTATTGTTGTTCTACTAGTAGTAGTTCTTAAAAAATCTGTTCTGCGCCAGTTGCTTTTCTTGTTGAAGGTCCCTAGAAGAAGAGCTAATTTTCAAGATAATGCATGATGATTTGGAAAGAAGTTATCAAGCAAGTACTACGTATGTTTTCGATACAGAGTTATGTTGTGTCACATGGTGAAGTTGAGTACCTGCTACTGTGAACGATACGGTAAATTATATCTTTAGTAACGCAAACTTGACCATTCTTTTCTCAGATGTATGTAACGTCGGAAAATTGTTTCAAAAATTCACCTTGCTAATTTCTACTCTAAATTACAACTCGTGGTGTTCATGTCTAGATTTAAATAGGTAAATTACCAGTCATCTCCGAAGTCGTCGGCCATGTCATCTTCCTCTGCTTTTGCAGCAGCTTCCGCAGCGGCGGCTTCGGCCGCAGCAGCTTCGGCGGCGGCGGCTTCAGCAGCTGCAGCTTCAGCAGCTGCAGCCTCGGCTGCCAGTCTTTCTGCTTCAGCCGCTTGTGCTAGTTCTGCAGAAACTCTTGCAGCTTCCACAGCAGCTGCGTCTTCGACAATAGCTTGTTCCACCTCGGCCTCACCAACTTCTTCGGCCTGGTCTTGCGGTGGAGCGGGAACTACATCTGCAGGTTCAGGCTCTTTCGTTTCCCCTGCCCCTTGACGGGCTTTGATAAGCTCGATGAGATTCAACTCAAGATCGTCCTTAGCAGAAAGATAATTCACACCGGGCATTCCAGTTAATTTGGTTGCTTCACGTTGTTGCAAGAACATTTGTTCCACTTGAAGGCCAATGCTCAAATCAGGGAATTGCTCGGGGTTAGAGGAAGGTGTAGCGAGAGCTTCTGCTGCCGTTTCACTAATAGTAGATAAGTCTTGCTTCCATAGAGCTACAATCTCATCAATTTTGGACGGTAGATACGTACGGACAAACATGGCTGCCTCTGGTAGTCTCTTCGTCGCTACCAATAGTTCCGCACACGCCTCAACGTTACCTGTCAACAAGTAGGCAACAAAGGCGACATTTGTTTTACCGTCCTTTGATGCAGCGTCCGCAAGTGTCTCCATACCAGCCAAATTTCCGATGGCTGAATAAAGCAACAGAAGGTCTGAATAATCATGACTAGCTACACTGGCAGCTTCGACAAGCTCCAGATTGTTTTCCTTAAGTGCTGCATCAGAAAGTCGTTTCCATTTCGATTCAGTCTCTGTTGAATCCTTATCCTCGTCCGGTGTTTCAAGTAGTAGTGCATGTGCGGTCTCAGTTTGTCCAAGTTCAAGTGCAAGCTCAAATTTATGATCCGGGTCAGTTGTCACTGCAAAGGCTTCTTCCTTAAATCCTTGGGATTCGAGGAAACGAGCGACTTTGGTATATTCAGACTCTGGTACATTTGGTAAGAGTTGATTCGCAGCATCAAAATCACCTCGCATTACAGCAGTCTGGTATTGGAGGACGGATAACATGACCTTGTACGCAACAATGTTCAACGATTTGTCTACCAAATAGACTCTGTCTTCTTTCGCCAAGTATCCAAGTATGGTATGCTGACTCTGACCTCCTGCAGAAGTCTCGAGGTGCACCAGCGTCTCAATTTGTCCTCCAACACAGTAATTCAATCGACCAACGCCATTGATAAAAATGAAACAATCTCCAACCCATTTACCAGAGGTGATAGTGTCATTGATCTCATAAAGCAGCTCGAATGATCCTTCGATACCTGCTTCTGGGTTCACTTGCCCCATTGCAATCGCCTGCGATACTTGTTGAGAATTGTAGCTTAAAACGTAAGCAGAGTCTTCTGTGGCAAGCAAGACCATGTTGCCGCTATCACTCCAGTAAACGTCTTTCGGAATAGCTTCAATCTTTTGAATAAATTCACCAGAGTCCCATTCATAGAAGAGGACACCATCCGATCCCTTGACACCTATTGCAGTTCCTCCAAAAAGACCATCGGCACTGGCCGTCGCAGGTACGATGGTCTGGCTTTCCTTGAAATTCTTGTAGGTCTKAATAGAATTGGAAGATTCACGAATACAATAGTCTCCAGTTCCGTTACCAGACCAGACGAAATCGAGCGCTTGACCAAATGCTTTATTTCTCAAGGCTTGAGCTGTGTAGATAATAAACTCTCCGTCTCCACAAACAGCTACAAATCGTCCGTTGCAGTTGTGTTTTAGCATCTGAGGATACAGCTCGCAAGATCCAAGATCACGAGGCACTACAGGGAGACGCTCTCCATCAGGCAATGCGTCCTCTCCGGATCCAACCAATCCTTTCACGCTGGTGGTTTGAATATCATTGTTCGTTGCCCATACAACCTTTCCAGTTGCATCCATAGAAGCAACAGGATCATCCGAACCCAATTCGATGCAAACACAACCCTCGTCAAATCCAATAGCAAGTTTATTGGTTTGAGGGGATGCAGCAAGTGCCCAGGCACGTTCCATTCCGTAATTTAGAGTCGTCTCCGCGCGATAGGTAGTGGATTGCCAAATTCGAACAGTTCCGTCTTCACTAGCGGACGCGATGATGGGTAATTTGGGGTGGAACATGACAGCGCAAACATTATTCGTGTGTCCATCCAAACTGTGAACGATAGATTTGGTCTGCACAAAAACGTGTAATTCGCGACATCAAATTAGACTCCATCAGAGAGCAGATCATTATCATCTCATCACTGCATTCCAATTCAATCGCTTTTTTCATTGCCTGCTATGACTTACCTGGTAGTCCCAGATTTTCACCGTTTGGTCATCGGCTCCACTCAAAATGTAAGGTTTATCACCAGAAGGATAGTAGTCGATACAGTTGACTCCTCTTTCGTGACCCTCAAGAGTGTAGTGCGGTGCGTGAGATCCGAGCCCCCACACCTTGATAGAGCGATCCAAAGAGGCACTGGCAAATGTATTAGTATCCTTAGGATTGAACTTTACCTGCATAACATAGTGCGCGTGTCCCTCAAATATTTGCGTGCAGTCAAACCCACGATCCCAATCCCATAGTTTGATACACATATCATCGGAACTAGATAATACATATGGAAGAGATGGATGGACTTCTAGGCAACGGATGTAATCAGCGTGAGCCTCGAACTCCTTAATTTTTTCCATCGTATTGTAGTTGAAAATTCGAAATCGCATGTCGTCTGAAGCCGCTACGAACCATTGCTTGCGGGCTACAAACTTAGCGCATCGTACTGGAAGTTCCGATACCTCGAAGGATTTGACAAGACTTCCCGATTCGTAGTCCCAGATCATGACATTTCCCGAGTAGAGAGCTGCCAACACCCATGGCTCTGTAGGGTGCAGATCAACGCTTTTTACGCGCTCACTGGATGCCGATAGCTTTTTCTTTATATCTAGACGAAGCGGCTGAAGGGTGCGACAGAATCAAAATGCGCATATGCGAAGAGTTAGCGTTGAAACATCAATAATTCGCAMTGCTTTGCCCTAGTTGTTCAATCGACGCCATCAATGTCCAGAGAAGTAAACTCAAGTTCGCCTTTTCTCCTTCGCAATACACTGGAGACTTGATAATAGATTAAAGAATGTGTTATCATTGTACCAAATCAAAGCTTGAAATTACTCACCATGTTATTGTTGATGCGTTGCAATTGTGTCGTTGCCGTCACAACCAATTTACTTCAGTTTCACCGGCTGATTTAGACGGATGACCGCGTCCTTGATAACAATGCCTTTTTTTTAGTTTCTCACGCCTTTTTACGCCATTGCGCAGTTGCCTTGTATCGTACGTACCGTACGGTACGTACGAGTAGGAAGATTTATTTTTTTCATTTTTGWGTGAGAGATGCCCCTCACTTTGATTAGAATTAGAGCTAAATAATTTTGCCTAATAATTCAGGGCGCCCTCACCTAGTAAATTTTCAAAAATAAATTTACAACAACAACAACAACAACACAACAACAACACAACACAACACAACACAACACAAGAATAGAGCTTCTTGTTGTTGCAATAGTCAAAGAGGAGCAAGATAGTACTACTAGTAGTAGTATTAGTAATAGAACAAGTACAAGTACTAGAAGTCACCATAAACTGACTTACATTTAATACTAATACACAGCACTTCTCACCTCTTCACCTCACCTATCACAGAAAAGAACACACAATAACACACCGAAAGGCCACACAAAACACATATTGAAAGTAGAAGCGAAAGATGATCTTTATTTTTTCTATGCACACTAGTATGACGCTGAACTACTAACTACTCTGTTGAATAAAATAGATCTTCGTTACTTTTTAATTTTTTGGATTTCATATTTAAAGTGAACCGGTGTCACTATTATCGTGTAGACTGGTGGCTGATCTCATCTGGTGGTTACTGCCCTTGAGCGAAAAGCTTCGTAGCTTTTGAGTTCTGGTGTTTTCATCGTAGTCAAAAGCACCTACGGCACCTCGACGAGATCGGGAGGACTTTTTCTTCAGTTTTTTGGCAAATCGAGACTTGAGTTTTTTCATTGCAGTTGTGGACTGCAGAAATTCGATGATAGATGATTTCTCCTGTCTATTGTTATCTTGGTCCGACTTTGTTGACGTTGTTCGAATAAAAGATTCGACCTGGTAGAGAAAAACTAATAAAAAGACACACTGGAGAATACCTCTCAACCCCATAGGATTTTCGGTCGTCGCAGCTTGAGATACTAGCTTCTCTTCATCCGAGCGGCCGTAACCGTGAGGATCCGAGAAGTACATGGCTAGCATAACGGCAAAACACCCGGCTACCGACATATATATGATTTTCATCCGGCGCGACTGGCGCTCACGGCGTCTGATAGATCGTTTCGAAACCCCAGAACAGACTGTAGAGGTAAAAGACGCATCAAATGACTTGGACCAAGAACTGTACGATTCGTCAATAGATTCTTGAAGGCTAGACTCCATGCTTTTCTCGTCTTCCAAGGAACCTTCCGTGCTAGCCATCGAAGACGAGCGAAGGGAGCTTTGGTCAATATTTCTATGGATATCAGTCTTCGATTTTGTAGGAATTTGAGCGTTAGCTGCTGCGGCTTCCTGTGCAGCATGTTCCATAGCTTTCTTCATTCGTTGCTCCTGTTCCTTCATCTCTTGCTCTTGCTTCATTTCGTCTTCTTCGTCAAACTTTTCCATAACATCAACGTGTTCCTTTGATCTACTGCGACGTGGAGGTTGCCCACGTCTGCTAGATCTTCGACTTCTTTTCGGTGCCAAGGGGTCTGATCGCTTCAGTAATTTCACAATCTTTGGATTAGAAAGAATCTGTTTCGCAAGCACGGCAACATCTGCTCCAGTGTAACCATCAGGAATGGCTACCAGTATTTCTCCCATAGTAATCTTGGCTGAATCCACGCCCGTATTGGCGCGAGGCTCAGATGCTAGCAATTCGTGATCCACAATTTCTTCTTGCGTCTTAGGCCGGCAGAGGCCGGTATACTTTTGAGATCCAAGAGCGGGCTCGGTCGCATTTTCAGGAATCATCGCAATGATTTTCCCGACAGTTGTATCATTCGAAGAATAGATAAGCTGAATTAATTCAAACGTTTTCAATTTGGGTTGCAATAGCAAAATAAAGATCTTGAAGGCGTCTGGATCGCTCTTCCTAAGACTGCTGCTTGACATCTTGCCCTTGCTGCTACCGCCCGCATTGCTTGAACTTCTGCGCTTGCTACTGCTAGAACGGGAAGAGTACGATGATTTTTTACCGGAAGCTATACTAGATGGCATTTTTTCCGTGCGGGAACCATGTTTGTCAGACTTAGACAGATTCTCTTTCTCTTTACCAGAAGCATTGGGTTTTTCCAAGCGACCCTTGGATAGATTATATTTCATGTTTGGTTCCTTTGGCCTTAGCGGAGATACATAATTCAGATTTGCACTGCTAGCTGTCGGCTTATGGCAGTATTCAAAGTCCCTAACAGGAGACGATGCCCCTAAATTGGGAGTAACGAGGCGTGGAGGTGTCGTTGCTTCGGAGGTAGAAAGTGTTGGGTAACCATTTGAGGATCCCTTGCGCTTGGGCACCCTCTCCGGTGACATTTCAACACCAGTTGTCATCTGTCAATAGACTGTCGCTTCCTTTTCGATTACTCTTTGTTCAGGACTGAATTGCTTCCATTCTATGTAACGCAGTTGACGTCACAAAAAAGAATAATACAAGAAAGGGGATCCGGAAGTTTAAAAAGTTCTTCGTCGCGTTGTTACGGCRGTGCTTCCAATGAGACAAGAAGCTGCATCCTAAAGAAGGTCCTACGGAACGTACCCGTACCGGTACCCGTACGTACTTTTCCGAGTTCAAAGTTAGACATTTGAGTACTAGGAAGCCGTGTAAATTCTTCGCCCTGAACACATTGCTTTTTTCAAATCAAATTCAACTTGTATCACRCACAAAACGGTGAGAGCACGTACTTTTCTCACCGCTGTGAAGGAAAAGGATCATACTTGGGAGATTGCCGGTCTCATTGCCTGTAGTTGAAAAGTTAAACGGAGCGCCGGCATGAAGCTTATCTAGAAAATCCCGTTGTCGTCGAAACTCGCRATTAACCGAAAGAAGTCAATAAAAACAGAAGTGGAGCGTTCCAAATCGTTTGGGGACCAGTACTGGGTTAGCCTACGGTAGTTACACAATTACGGAGCGTCACGTTCATGTGGGTCACTCAAGAACGTTTGTTCTCTGATTCGTTCTGTCGTATGGTACGTTCCGCGCGGTAGRTAGTACAACTAGTACGGTGCGACAATTTTTTTCATTTCATGATTAGTTCAGTACGAGTACCGTACGTAGTAGTATTCGAAGTACAGTAGTTTTTTACAGACATTCTTTCGTGACCATGGTTACTGTTGCAACTGTTATTGGGTCATTTCCATTAATCTAGACTAAAATTGGGTGATTCCCACTAATAGAATGATAAATTAG